GTTGCCCAACATATTGGCCTGATGACCTAAAGTTGTGAAACCCCTTGACCTATGACCTCTAGATTTGGCCAACGTCTTTGTCTAGGACCTGTAGTTGCCCAACATATTGGCCTGATGGCCTAAAGTTCTGAAACCTCTTGACCCTGCAGGCCCTCTAGATTTGGCCAACGTCTTTGACCAATGATACGTCAGACACCTATCCGCCATGTTTGTCTATTAGCATCAGTAAACACGCATTCACTGCGGGGCACGCTCTATGGCGTATTCATAATTGATCTGACGTCTAATGCCCCTGTCCTGCAGGGAAAGTGTAGAGGTCACAGCGGCCATCACTCACAACCTCACAGACATGCACGCTACTCGCCCTCTTATTTATGGTACTCGGGGGTCTCTGTTGCAGGGCGCCATCAAGGAGCACATAACTCCAACTGCACGCTGGGGTGATATTAGATTCGCCCCCCTTCAGGCTCCGTGCCTCTCTCGCCATTAATGGCCGGCTTTAGTCATGAAAACCGGGGGAGATGATATTAAAACTAATCTGATGACGGGGAGGAATTATTTCTATTACGGGATTAATACCGGAAGTCCGACATTATTAACCACTTGTTCGTAGGCCTTTGTTGTGGCCGGATATGACGTCACCGGATCTCATCAATATATATGTTAAAGTTGAAATGATCGTAATGGTATTATCATGGGATATTTTTTTTTATAGATATATGAGAGCAAACGAGAAATCCGTTTTATGTTGATTAGCCTCGGCCCGTGGCTGGATGCCTGATTAGGACGGGATTAACTCCATCCCGTGGCAGTTAGACGTGCATTTATCTTGCTCACTCGGGCGTGCCCGCGCGGGCCTAGGCGCGTGGGTCGGCTTTGATAGGGATGCTTTTGAAGCGATGATGTAACATTATTTGATCCAATTACGACGGGGATGGTTAATTAACTGGGGTGTCGTGTGACGTCAGAGGGGTGGGGCGAGGGCTTGAAGGATCAGATATCAAAGTCTGGGGGAGGGGACGGAGCAAAACACAGACTCGCTTGCTGGCATACAGCACACGGCATTTAGCCGGCAGTAACGCACTGTCTGACCGGCTTAACACATTAGTTGCCCGGAAGCCGGAAGAACACATTATTTAACCGGAAGAACACATTGGTAGACCGGAAGAATGAAATACTTGCCCGACAGAACGCATGTTTGACCGGTATAACGTATGTTTTACCGGAAGAACATATGTTTGACCGGAAGAACACATGTTTGACTGGAAGAACGTATGTTTGACCGGAAGAACGCATGTTTGACCGGTAGAATGAAAAGTTTGACCGGTAGAATGAAAAGTTTGACCGGTAGAACGTATGTTTGACCGGAAGAACGCATGTTTGACCGGAAGAACCATGTGTGTCATCCGGTTGTTTGACCACAGACTACCTACCACGAGTCAGATGTTTGACCTTGACCTATGTTAACACCATCTCATCGTGTGGTTAACCACACCGCACCGTGCTACTCCCCCGTGTCAATATTTCACTAGTGCTCTCATCAATCGATTTCATGTATTCGGTATCGATTACAATAAAGTATCGACCGCGCTTGCTAGCTCAACACAGGAATCGATTCCAAAAAACCCAGAGTCTTGAGCTTTGGGCAAAACCAGACGGAACAAGGTCTGCCCGAATATCTGTATCTGCCCGAATAGCTGTGTATCTGCCCTAATAGCTGTGTATCTGCCCGAATATCTGTGTATCTGCCCGAATAGCTGTGTATCTGCCCGAATATCTGTGTATCTGCCCGAATAGCCGTGTATCTGCCCGAATAGCTGTATCTGCCCGAATAGCTGTGTATCTGCCCGGACAGCTGTGTATCTGCCAGAATAGCTGTGTATCTGCCCGAATAGCTGTGTATCTGCCCGAATATCTGTGTATCTGCCCGAATATCTGTGTATCTGCCCGAATAGCTGTGTATCTGCCCGAATAGCTGTGTATCTGCCCGAATAGCTGTGTATCTAGGCTTCACGACGCAGTGCAGCTATGCCACATGCCCACATACCCTGCTTTACATAACATGCGCCGTGATAGGTTGAAGTTTGTTTTGAATAGTTTCAAGAGCTGTTATCGGTTAAATTTTGTTTAAAATTGTTCCTTAATCCCGGCAATGAAAACAGATTAACGTTCTATTTTTAGCCACCGTTCCAGAGCGCACACTTCTGTTTTGTTGTGACCTCAACCACGTGGTACGCGCGCGCTAATCTTGTTTACATCTGGCGTCATTTGACCACGTGTAGCCCTAAAACATTCGTCACGTGATCATGCTAAATACAAACCGATTTCCAAACATTTCAAGTCGCGGTTCAAACTTGTCCTGGAATTCCCGGTTTAAAAAAAAACTTCATGTTAAAAAATCTGACAAAACAGTTCCGCCGTACCCCCCCCCTGCCCCCACCCCATGAAAATGGTGATTGGCAATCCCCCCCCCCCCCCTCCCTGCCTGTGTCTGACGGCCTCAACTGTCTTCGACCCGCCGTAATTACCCTGTTAAATGTTCCTCTTCGGATCGCTGACAGGTAAAGACCCGGATCCGGAACCAATGGAAAAATCTGGCCACTCGCCACAGTTGCCAGTCATTCGACACTGGCTCGCCAGTAACTCGCCAGATGACGTCATAAGCCGGCTAGTTCTTGCTGCTACATTGTACCAGATTTGTTTTCTAACTGTACCTGACATGGACCGTACCCGGCTCAATTGTACCGGATTTTACTTAACCTGGCAAATATTATCAAACATAATCTGTACACGAACTAAGTTGTACCAGCTATTTTCGTCTTGTCTCTGATCGTACCAAAGTACTCATTTTGCCCATTTACCATTTGTACCCATATTTTGGTCGTACCTTTCTACCAGTTGTACCCATGTATCAGTTGTAGCGATGTACCAACCCAGTTGTACCAACCCAGTTGTACCAACCCAGTTGTACCAACCCAGTTGTACCAACCCAGTTGTACCAACCCAGTTGTACCAACCCAGTTGTACCAACCCAGTTGTACCGATGTACCAACCCAGTTGTACCAATGTACCAACCCAGTTGCACCGATGTACCAACCCAGTTGTACCGATGTACCAACCCAGTTGTACCGATGTACCAACCCAGTTGTAGCAATATAGCAGTAATACATCCCTCCTGATCTAATATAACCCTGTAAATGAGGCATGTATCTCCCTACTCTCACGGAGCCACAAACAAAAACAGAACCACAAACAAACAAACAAACGAAAACAGAACCACAAACAAACAAATAAAAACAGAACCACAAACAAAAACAGAACCACAAACAAACAAATAAAAACAGAACCACAAACAAACAAACAAAAACAGAACCACAAACAAACAAACAAAAACAGAACCACAAACAAACAAAAACAGAACCACAAACAAACAAACAAAAACAGAACCACAAACAAACAAACAAAAACAGAACCACAAACAAACAAAAACAGAACCACAAACAAACAAACAAAAACAGAACCACAAACAAACAAACAAAAACAGAACCACAAACAAACAAACAAAAACAGAACCACAAACAAACAAACAAAAACAGAACCACAAACAAACAAACAAAAACAGAACCACAAACAAACAAACAAAAACAGAACCACAAACAAACAAACAAAAACAGAACCACAAACAAACAAACAAAAACAGAACCACAAACAAACAAACAAAAACAGAACCACAAACAAACAAACAAAAACAGAACCACAAACAAACAAACAAAAACAGAACCACAAACAAACAAACAAAACCAGAACCACTAACAAACAAACAAAACCAGAACCACAAACAAACAAAACCAGAACCACAAACAAACAAACAAAACCAGAACCACAAACAAACAAGAACAGAGCCACAAACAAACAAACAAAAACAGAACCACAAACAAACAAACAAACAAAAACAGAACCACAAACAAACAAACAAGAACAGAACCAAAAAACAAACAAACAAAAACAGAACCACAAACAAACAAACAAGAACAGAACCAAAAAACAAACAAACAAAAACAGAACCAAAAAACAAACAAACAAAAACAGAGCCTAATATCTAGCTAGTTTGGTCTCCTATCTCCAACTATCATAAAAAACATCAGCCTTCATCTTAGACGAGAAAATAAACAAAGCAACTTTGGTGACGGTAGGGGGCGTCTATCTCATTCAGGCCTGCATCTACACACATATACACGCTTATACATATAGGCCTACATATAACCTGTCGTTGGTCAGATAGCGTGTATGTCTAGATGTATGTAGAAATGTTATGTTAGCGCTTTACGACATGTTGTGTTGATACTTGATGATAAGAGTTGTGCAACTATGTTTTATTTACACACACAAAGTGTTGACGTTTTAGTTTGTTGATTTCAGTTAAAACCCACATCACTGACGTTAAAACCCACATCACTGACGCTAAAATCATGTCTTTTCACCAACGTTAAAATCTTGTCTATTCACTAACGTTAAAATCTTGTCTATTCACTAACGTTAAAATCTTGTCTATTCACTAACGTTAAAATCATGTTGACGTTAAAATCTTGTTGACTAACGTTAAAATCTTGTTGACTAACGTTAAAATCTTGTTGACTAACGTTAAAATCTTGTTGACTAACGTTAAAATCATGTTGACTAACGTTAAAATCTTGTTGACTAACGTTAAAATCTTGTTGACTAACGTTAAAATTATGTTGACTAACGTTAAAATCATGTTGACTAACGTTAAAATCTTGTTGACTTACGTTAAAATCTTGTTGACTAACGCTAAAATCTTGTTGCCTAACGTTAAAATTTTGTTGACTAACGTTAAAATCTTGTTGACTAACGTTAAAATCTTGTTGACTAACGTTAAAATCATGTCTATTCACTAATGTTAAAATCTTGTTGACTAACGTTAAAATCTTGTTGACTAACGTTAAAATCTTGTTGACTAACGTTAAAATTCTCATCCACAGAGCTGCCCAAAAACTCGGGAAGAAAAAAAAACGACATCACTCTCAGGATCAAGAACCCCTCCCTGCCCTCCCCACTTTCCCCACGAATTTCTCTGACGTCATACGATTAACGCCCCCGCCCGCCCCGCCATGTCTACTGAGGAGCGGTGGAAGGCTGCAGAACCCTGGCATGGGAAAGGTAAAATCTATTAGCACCATCTTTCTCTCATCCTCCATCTCTCTCTCATCCTCCCCCTCTCTCTCTCTCTCTCATCCTCCCCCTCTCATTCCAGCCTCATTGCTCCCCAATTATTTCCTGTGACGTCACACGTCTTTTCTCGGCCTGAAGCTGATGTGTGTCATGTGACGTCATAGCGACTCTAGTCACTGATGACATGTCATGGCAACTACCGTGGTGACATCTGTCCAGTATTTTAATTACACTTATAATTTTAATAACACATATAATTTTAATTACTCTTATAATTTTAAATACACTTATAATTTTTATTACACTTATAATTTTGATTACACTTATAATTTTAATTACACTTATAATTTTAATTACACATACATCTTTAACTGCCCTACATTTAAACTATTATTAAATTCTGAAGTGTAGATTATAAATTACATTTACATTTTTAATTAAACTAACAATTAAAAATTATTTTAAATTGTACACATTTAGATTTTCATTTAATTACGCTTTAATAATTTTACCTGTTTTAAAATACGTTTTTTATACACTTACATTTAAAATACTTCAACATTTTAACACACCCTATCTTTAGTTCGAATTTCACTTATATCTGTAAACACATTTTACCTGTATCTGTAAACACATTTCACTTGTATCTGTAAACACATTTCATTTGTATCTGTAAACACATTTCACTTGTATCTGTAAACACATTTCATTTGTATCTGTAAACACATTTCACTTGTATCTGTAAACACATTTCATTTGTATCTGTAAACACATTTCACTTGTATCTGTAAACACATTTCACTTGTATCTGTAAACAAACACATTTCACTTGTATCTGTAAACACATTTCACTTGTATCTGTAAACACATTTCACTTGTATCTGTAAACAAACCTTGTCAGATGTGTTCAACGGGTCATGTAAATAACAAAATACACAGTCTTCATCACACAAAACATCGTGTTCTAAATTACAACGTGTACTAAATGTACACATTTAGTGGCTTAGGTTGTGGGGGGGGGGGGGGTTAGAGGCTGATAACTGTATTAAATGACGTCAGCATTAACTCCACCGGTCAGAACCCCCAACCCTAACCCCCCTCCACACACCCCTCATTCTCCTAAGCCTGTTACACAATCCTTGAATTTTTAATGCAAACAAAAAAAAAGCTGAAATTTTTTTAGAATGTTTTTTTTTCTTGGCATGCATTTCAAAGCCGTCTGCTCTGCTTGTGTTTTCATGTTAGAATCTGCTGCTAAGTCTCGTCTGCTGGATTAAATTAGTTGGCGCGTGCAGGGCCAGCTTTCTTTACCTCGCCAGGTCCTCGCCTCATCTACACACATGTCCCGCCTGGCAAGTGCCGGAAAATCACGGCAACTTCCGGTTTGTAGGGAATGCTGAGTGGAGCCGCAATTAGACCGAGGGTTAGATTCCCCTACCACGTGACGTCCGGCTCGTGACGTGGACACTAAGCCCGCGCTGATTGGCTGATGGGATTTATCCGTCACGTGACTCCGGGTTTTGAAACGTCAGTGTGACGTCATTGAAGTCCACTCAAACATTGCTACGTCACAGTGTCCAGCAGGGAGACAACTCCAGATAAGAGGGGATTTTAAAGTTTTAGATGTGAAGTTTGCCGAGGAAAACAAAACAGTTTTATCAGAATTGTTGCACTTTTTACAAGCAATAAACGTATCGTATTTGACTTATGACGTCACCATTGTGAACGAGATGTCACGTGACACCAAGGTTCCAGGATCACGTGGTCCCTAAAACTGCTGACTGCGTCGCTTCCATCCTGTTGCTATATGAAGATTCAAGCACCGCCATTTTTTTTAAACCGCCACCTGCGGGTATCACGTGACAAGGCCAGTGTGACGTCACACTCCTCTGGGACAGTCGCGTGTCTGACACAACCCTCATGACCTTCAACCCGCATGACCTTCAACCCGTTATGTTGTAATGTTGATGAAATTATAAACATCAAAACGAGCATATCAAAGTTAAAAAAAGAATTTTCTAAAAATCAAAGTATGCTTAAAACTGTACAACATCAGCATCATTGAAACATTTCTTCGTTTTTTTGTCTCATAATACACCAGCGTGTCCCACACTACACCAGTAGCGTAGCGAGGGGGGGGGGGCGTGGGGGGACATATGTCCCCGGGCGCCGACCTTAGGGGGCGCCAAAATGGGTTGGAAAAATAAATTGAAAGGTTGAGGGGGGTGCAAATCGAAAGTTTGAGGGGGGGGGGTGCAAATCGAAAGTTTGTGGGGGGGGGGGGTGCAAATCGAAATCTTGAGGGGGGGGGGGGTGCAAATCGAAATCTTGAGGGGGGGGGGGTGCAAATCGTCCCACACTACACCAATGTGTCCCATAATACACCAATGTGTCCCACACTACACCAGTGTGTCCCATAATACACCAATGTGTCCTACACTACAACAGTGGGTCCCACACTACACCAGTGGGTCCCACACTACACCAGTGGGTCCCACACTACAACAGTGTGTCGCACACTACACCAGTGTGTCCCCTTCTATTCAACCCACCAACTTCTCTAGCCTATGACGAAGTGTTATGTCCCCTTCCTCACTACATGCCGTAGTTCTCTACCTTGATGTACTCAGTACCAGATGGACCTCACTACTTGCCGTAGGTTTGTACCTTGATGTACTTAGTACCGCCGTTGTTTGATGGACCTCACTACATGCCGTAGGTCTGTACCTTGATGTACTCAGTACCGGATGGACCTCACTGCATGCCGTAGGTCTGTACCTTGATGTACTCAGGACCAGATGGACCTCATTACATGCCATAGGTCTGTACCTTGATGTACTCAGTACCTGATTGACCTCACTACTTGCCGTAGGTCTGTACCTTGATGTACTCAGTACCGCCGTTGTTCGATGGAGCTCACTACATGCACTAAGAAAACAAAATAAAAAGTTATCGGCCGTGTTAAAACTGGGGTTACATAAAGATGGGCAGAAACAAGATGGCAATACGCTTATGTAGGATGGTAGATGTGGATGGAAGAGATGGATGGTATACCATAGGTGTGCATGCCATGATGGTGCAGATGTGCTCGCCCATCCAGCAGCTCGCCCCCTCATCTGGCGCCTATCAAACTCACCCCACCCCTGTCTAAAGGGTGTTCATTAACTCCACCCGTCTCTTCCGCATGTGGAGGTGTTTATCAAATCCACCCGCGCCCCCTCGCCCCCCCCCCCCCCCCCCCATAATTTATATTCAGCATTAATTAGAAATTCTTGTAGCTCCCACCCTAACCGTCTGACCCCGGGTATTTGCATACGGAAAACATGGTTTTAATTCCAGCCTGGGCCCCCTGGTGCCAGTCGTCTGCCGACATGACCGTGTGTTTTTGTAGCAGCCAACCCCCACCCCCCACCCCACCCCCTCCTTCCTTCCTTCCCCTCCCCCACCCCCGTATACCAGTAGCATCGATCTGTAGGGTGATAAGACGCTCGCATTATCTGTAGGATGACGTCACCACGCTAGAACCCAGTAGACCAGGTATGTCATCTTGTGTATGCTGCTCTCGTGTCCTTCAAAGACAGCGAGAAACTGCGAGACTCTACTCACCTACACTACTGCAGCTGGTGTGGTCATGTCCCCAGCTACTAAATGCTCATCACATCCTTGTTTTTTTTTATCTAATCCACTCAACACAACAGAAACTTCTAGAACTAAACAAACGTTTCAATCGATACCAATGTGTGCGATACTTTTTGCTGGAATCGATACTGTGACCTGAACCTTGTAGGACGAGTCCAAGTTTTCTAAACAAAATGCCCAGCACACTTGATAAAGGCAGAATGTAACCAAGACCCATTGCAGATGCCCAGGACAATGCCATTAGTGTAGGCAGAAGATGGTCTCTGACGAGGGGGATAATCTGAGGGAATCATCTTTGGTTCCGCTAGCCGCAGAATTACGGCCCCTTGCAGTGCCAGATTTGGCGCCAAATGACAATGAATCAAGTCGCTCCTGTCTAACGACAATCTACATCTTAGCATAAATATACATCGTACGTCTGATCAAAGCCGTCTGTTGTAAATCTTCATGCTTTTCATCAACGGTGTCTGTTGTAAATCTTCATGCTTTTCATCAACGGTGTCTGTTGTAAATCTTCATGCTTTTCATCAACGGTGTCTGTTGTAAATCTTCATGCTTTTCATCAACTGTGTCTGCTGTAAATCTTCATGCTTTTCATCAACGGTGTCTGTTGTAAATCTTCATGCTTTTCATCAAAGGTGTCTGCTGTAAATCTCGTCAATACTTTGTTTGGCTGTTCACATCCGCTAAGATTGAACATGCAAATGTGAGCCACGTCCCAACGTTGGTCTAGTGTTAACATTTTACGTTTTACATGTGTTAAAACACATCGTGTGATACCACTGATCAAAATGTTAACATCGCTAAAGTGTTAACATTTCACCACGTGTCAACTTTCATCGTGTTTTAACATAGTGACACACTACTGTAGGATGATGGATCAACAAGTTGTGAGTGATAGTTGCACCACTAACAAAATGTCAACATTCAACAAATATCACCACATCAGCTAGTGTCACCACTTCAGCAAGTGTCACCACTGACAAAATGTTAACATTCAGCAAGTGTCATTTTCTACCGAATGTTAACATTGAGCGAGTGTCACCACTTAGTATCAGCATCTACCGAATGTTAACATTCAGCGAGTGGCACCACTTAGTGTCACCACTGACACATGTTAACATTCAGCAAGTGTCACCACATTAGTGTCACCAGTGACCAAATGTTAACATTGATCCAGTGTTAACATCGTGTTAGCATGAGACTCCCGACACGAGTTGACACTCAAGACGTTCTGGGATCTGTTGCTCTTTGTCCGGCCCTCGGTGCCACATCTCGCTTCCCACAGGAATCCCAATCAATGGATCCATTTAAAGCACCGTGTCTTTAAAATTATGAATCACCATTTT